AGGGAATACCTCGGCGACCGTTGGTGGGTAGCGGTCTCTCCCTGCAGAAAAACACAGTAGTGCATCGCAACACATGCAATTCCAATATCACGTCTTGCGAGATGCCGATTCCGAGCGTTGCCCTTCTCTGGAGCCTGAGCCGGCATCGGTGCCGGCAAGGGTGTCGACAGCGATACTAGTGCCGACGGGCGCCGAGCCGCTCTTTGGCACCAAAATCGACACTGTCCCACTGGGGGCCCTGCGAGCGTTTGGAGGAGAGAGTGGGGGAGAGCGGGGAGGGGGGCACGACGGCGAGGAGGACGAGGGGCAGAGCCTGCAAGGAGGAGCTGGAGGAGGGGCGGGGGAGAGACGGGGGAGGCAGCAGCAAGAGGAGTGCCAGGACAAGGAGGAAGGCGGGGCGGAAAACATCACCGACGTACCGATTTCTAGCCTCAGTCCGGCATTTCAGGCAGCGATTTTGAACCAGAGTGGCTCCAGACATTGTTTGCGCGTCCTCCGAATCGCCGTCCCCGCGACCCCGATTTGCCTGCGCCCGTTGACGCCGTCGCTGTGGTCGTCATTGCTGGCGTCGCCCCCTTCCCCCCTCCCGCGCCTCCTCCTTCTCCCCCTCCCCTTTCTTTCCCTTCGCCTCCTCGTCCCCCATATGTTGTGTTCCACCTTCTCCACGTCGTTCTTCTGCCTCCTTCCCTTCTGCTCTTCGTTCTCGCCATCGTGCTCCTGATGCTTGTCCCCCTGGTCCTCGCGCTTTCACACCCCTGTTTCTCCTCCTGGCCCCTGAAGTTCTCCTCTCGCCGAATATGTCAACGTGTGCTGAGGCATGGTGCCCCCCCCCGCCTGAGTTTTCACATGGTTCAGAACTCATGCTGTCGCCTTGGCGCCAGCTAGCTCTTCCCTCGGGGCAGGGGCGCCCGGGGGCCCCTCGTGCGGCACAACTCGATGGGCACAGTTCGATACATGTACTGTGCTGTGACTGGTAGCTTGGGCCTGGCTCCGCCCGAGTTCTCTCTCCTACCTCTCGGGGCCCCGTTGCGAGGATGTCTCAGGCAGCGCTGACCATAATACCTCGCGCGCGGCATCTCGCTGCCCAGAGTTGCGAGGAGCTCTCGGGCGAAGTTGGCCTGACCATCTCTCGCGCGGCATCTTGGAGCCCAGAGTTGCGAAAATGGATCAGGCGAATCCGGTCGGAGTGCCTCGAGCGCACCATCTTTGAGCCTGGAGTTGCGGGGGTGCATCCGGCGAAATCGGCCACACGACCTCGGTCGCGGCAGGGGCCCAGAGTTGCGAAGATGTCTCCGGCGAAATTGGCCAAACCACCTCTAGTCAGGATCATATCGGAAGCCGAAGATGCGAGGATGTCTCAGGCGAGTTGGGCTGGACAACCTCGCGCGTCGCAGCTTCGAGCCTAGAGCTGCGAGGATGTCTCGGGCGATTTGGGCCAGATCACCTCGGGCCACAGCAGTTGTGAAACCAGAGTTGCGAGAATGTTTCAGGGGAAACGGGCCAGACCACCTCGCGCGCGGCATCGTTGAGCCTGGAGTTGCGAGGATGTCTCAGGCGAAACGGGCGGAACCACTTCAGGTCAGAGTATCTCCGAGCCCGCGCGCGACATTTTGGAGCCCAAAGTTGCGATGATGTCTCATGCAAATTAGCTGGGCCACTTCACGCGCAGCATCTTGGAACCCAGAGTTTTTTGCAGGTTGTCTCAGGAGAGTTTGGCTGGACCACCTCGCGCCTGGCATTTCGGACCTCAGAGTTGCGAGAATCCCCTGGGCGAGTTGGGCTGGACCACCGCGAGGATGTCCCAGGCGAATCGGGCTGGGCCAAGTCAGGTCAGAGCGTCTCGATCCCAGAGCTGCGATGATGCTTTGAGTGAAAACTGGCCAGACCACCTCGCCAAATGTATCTTTGAGCCGAGAGTTGCAAGGATGTCTCGGGCGAGCCTGGCTGAACCACATCGAGCCAGGACATCTCTGAGCCTGGAATTTCAAGGACACCCAGGCTAGTCGGCAGCACCTCCTCGCGCGCGGCATCTAGGATCCAAGAGTCGCGAAGATGTCTCAGGCGAAATTGGCCAGACCACCTCGCGCGCGACATCTCGCAGAGTTTGGGGGATGCCCCAGGCGAGAATGTCTACAGTAATATTGGCCAGATCACCTCGCGCGCGGCATGTCTCAGCCTCGAGTTGCGAGGATGTCCAAGGCGAAACGGGATGGACTTCCTCAGGTAGGGGGCACATCTGAACCCCGAGTTGCGTGGATGTCTCAAGCATAACGGACCGGACCACCTCGCGCGTGGCATCTCCAATCCCAGAGTTGCGAGGATGTCTCAGACGCAATGGGCCTGGCCACTTTCGGTCCCGGCAACTCGCAGCAAAGAGTTGAGACGATCTCTCAACGCAGCGCTAACGCAGCGCAGTGGGAAGTGATGCGACACCAATGCAATCCCGTGCGTTGTAAAGCAATGCCGTGCAATGCAATGCATTGGCACTCCATGCATGCGCAATGCATATGCAAAATGCAAGTGCGCATGGGCATGGGACAGAGGTCCCCACCGCGGGGGATGCGGGATAGAGAGAGGGAGGGAAGGAACACGATGAGGAGGAGCGGGAGGAGGAAGAGGAAGAGGTTGGCTTGCTTTCCAGAGCTCACCATGCAACTTGGCATGAACTACAGTGCAGTATCAGTAGCAGGAGGCGTGGCTGTCAAGAGGATCAGGCACACCGGAAGCGCACTTAAGCAGAGCAGAAGCTCACTTGACAGGAACGCAACCTCCTTGTTGCTTTTGGCGCCCCTGTGGTTTTCGGCGCCCCTTTTTGGGTTTTCTGCGCACCCCTTCGTTTTCGGCGCATCGTTGGTTTTCGGCGCCCCTCTTGGTTTCCGGCGCTCGCTTTTGTTTTCGGCGCTCTTCTTGCCTTCCGCCGCCCCTTCGTGTGTTCGGCGCCCGTTTGATTTTTGGCGCCCTTCTTCGTGGCGCCACTTTGTTTTTCGGCGCCCTTTTTGATTTTCGGCGCCCTTTTTGTTTTTCGGTGCCCCTTTGGTTTTCGGCGCTCCTTCGGTTTCGGCGCCTCTTTAGTTTTCGGCGCCGTTTCGGTTTTCGGTGCCCCATTTGTGGTTTTCGACGCTCTTTTGGTTTTCGGCGCTGTGTTGGCCTTCTGCGACCTCTTGGTTTTCGGCGCCCTTTGGTTTTCGGCGCCCCATTTGTGGTTTTTGGCGCTCTTTTGGTTTTCGGCGCTGTGTTGGCCTTCGGCGACCTCTTGGTTTTCGGCGCCCTTTTCGTCTTCGGCGCTGGTTTTGGTTTTCGGCGTCCTGTTGGTTTTGGGCGCCTCTTTCGTTTCCGGCGCTCCTTTGGTTTTCGGCGCCATTTTTTGTGTTTGGCGCCCCCCCCTGTTTTTCGGCACCTCTGTGGTTTTCGGCGCTCAATTGGTTTTCGGCGCACCTTTGGTTTTCGGTACCCTTGTGGTTTTCGGCGCCCCCTTGGTTTTCGGTGCCTCTTTGGTTTTCGGCGCTCTGTTGGTTTTCGGCGTCCCTTTGGTTTTCGGAGCCGTTTTGGTTTTCGGCGCAGTCTTGTTTGGTCTTCGGCGCCTCTTTGCTTTTTGGCGCAACTTTTGGTGGTTTTCGGCGCTCCTTCGGTGTTCGGCGCCCCTTTGCTTTTCGACGCCCTTTTGGTTTTCGACGTCCCGGCGCCTCTTTGGTTGTCGGCGCCTTTTCGGTTTTCGGCGCCCCTTTGGTTTTCGGCGCCCCTCTGGTTTTTTGCGACCTTTTGATGTCTGGGCCCCTTGGGTTTTCAGCGCCCCTTCGATTTTCGGCGCCCCTTGGGTTTTTGGCGCGCCTCGGCTTCCGGTGGCCCTTCGGTTTTCCGCGGTTTTCGGCGTCCTGTTGGTTTTCGGCGCCCCCTCGTTCAGCCAAAGGGGAGGGAGGGAGTTTCCAAGCCCCCGCCTCCCTTTAGCCAAAACGGGAGGGATGGGGGGGGGGCCTTCTGGCAGGGGGGGGTTCAAAGGGGGAGGGATGGAGGGGGGTACCCCCCCCCTTTGCAAAGGGGGGGAGGGGGGGGTAGCTTCTGGAGCGCGAACAGGGGGGGAGTGGGGGGGGCGTAGCTTCCGCAGGGCGGAAGAATGTGGAGGAAAGGGGGTGGGCGCTTAGGGCGGGGGGGGTAAAAGGGGTGGGGTGGTTCGTTAAGGGGTGATTGGGCACCCAATATCCATTGGTGCCCACGTAGCCAGTACCACACATGTTCATACCATTCATGTTGTGCTCCCGAGATGCACTGTCACTCAGACGGCACATGGTGGCACATGTTGCATCAACGGCATAACGCACATTTCGAAGTTCAGCTCAGATTTTTTTGGATCGGTGCTGAATCCCCTGGCGGCGCCTTTGGCGCCGCCCCTGGCGCGCTCCACGCGCCAGGGAGGGGGGCCCAGCGCAGATCCAAGACATCCGCGCTGATCTCCAAACGTTTGTGTTCATGCATTTATTATTGCTCTGTGATCGGCAAAAAAGAAGAAGAGAAGGAGGAGGAGGCGGAGGAGGAGGAGAAACAGCAGAAGGAGGATGAGGATGAGGAGGAGGAGGAGGAATAGGAAAAAGAGGAGGAGGAGGGGGAGGGGGAGGAGGAGGAGGAGGAGGAGGAGGAGGAGGAGGAGGAGGAGGAGCAGGAGGAGGAGGAGGAGGAGGAGGAGGGGGAGAACGAGGAGGAGGATGAGGAGGAGAACGAGGATCAAAGTAGGGAAAGCCAGCGCTGGGCTGCCATACGCATGCATCAAGAGCAAGGCCCCAATGCAGTTCAAGCTGCAACTTTGCATCCAGAACTTCGTTCGTTTCCTCATGTCGGTACCGCGCCAGTGGAAAAACCAGCCCACCTTTCACCATAGGAAGGCGGGGCGGCCACAGCAGGTATATTCTAGCTACAGGACCTTGTCCACCAATACTGTGGAGTTGCGGCTGGCGGAATAGTTGTTGGCTCTCCTCCGCGAGGACTCCATCTTGGCGGTGGCCGGACAGGCGCAGTTAGGCGGGGGAGACTCCCTGATTGCAGCGGCCATGGGGTTGGAGGTCCGGCTCATCCGCGTTGTCCTCGGGTTGCCGCTGGGCGAGTTGTTTACCGACCTCGCAGAGGCGTTCGACACAGTTCACCCCCCAGCTCTGATCTTATCGCTCGCAGATGGTGCGGGTCTTACTGGAGAAGACCTGATGCCCGCCGCCGGCATGGTCCAGGGCTCTGCTGTTCACGTTGTGTCCCGCGCCGCCCAGTCGCACCCTGTTCATTTGGAGGTGGGAATGCCGGAGGGCAGGCGGCTCGCGCCAGCCTTCTTCTTCTGCACGGCGCAGTGCTTCAGCAAGGTCTAGGATCCGCTTCGCTATGCCGGCGTCGGCCTCAACCCGCCTGAGGCAGCGGTGCTGGCCTACCACATGCATGCTCAGGCGGTGGCCAGCGACGCCATCCCTGACATCCCTTGGTGCACCTCCGTGGCGGTTGCTTGCGAGCAGGGCCAGTGCGCGTGGGAAGACGCCATGCACCAGGCCCCGTCGCACGCTGACCAGTGCAGCTTGCTGGACGTCGCAGCTCCTATCAGAATCGGCCTCACACAGTTCATCGACGACAATTGCTGCAGGAGCAGCTCCAGGGGCGGCCTCGTGATGAGCGCCCAGCTCGTGAGGAGCGCCGTCGCCAGCTTCCGCGGCTTGCTGCGCCTGGGGCCAGGGAAGACGGAGTGCATGGCGCAAGGCATCCCGGACGAGCGGCCCATTGATGACATCCACTTCGTTCAGCAGCGCGTCGCGCTCGGGATTCCCATCGAAGCCGGCGCGAGGATGATTGGGCTCATGAGGCGGATCGAGGGCCGAGCCCAGACAGCATGGGACAGCGCGCTCATGGACATCGAGCTGTTGGGGCTCCCGCTGCAGGCGGCGCTCGCCTCCTTGCGCGGGCGCGTCCAGCCGCGCGCGTGCCACGGTGCCGCTCTGCTGCTCGTGCGCGGCGATGGAGAGGCCAGGCTGGACGCAGTGTTCGACAGATGG